GCGATCGCGGAAATAGGGATGCGATCGCGAAGGGTACCACTGACTGGTCATCGCGATCGCGTGGAGGGTTACACGATCGCGTAGAAGAACTACTGGGGGTCCAAAACTTGGTCTATGCGATCGCGACCCTACTGGTGCGAACGCATTGAAGGAAGTGCTGAGGCAGTGCGATCGCGTGATCAAGTACGCGATCGCGAAAGAGCAAAGAGCCAAAGGAATGCGATCGCGGGCTGAAGATTGCGATCGCGTAAGAGGAAATCACTGAGCAAAAATTGCAGAAAAATCTGCTACCATTCCAAGTGCAAAAACACCCCGAACCACCTCCAATTCACTTCTGAGCCCTCGGGGCTCCTAACTAATCACACACACTAACTCAATAACATCCTACGAACTTACTCGAGCGATCAAATCGCCAAAATAACATCAAAATCATTGGATCAAGCCTCAAAATCATCATTTCTATTTCAAACTTCATAAACTTCCAACTTTAGATAACTAAGTCCGAAACACGTCAAAAGACGTCCGATTTCGACCAAACTTCATAGAAAGCGCTTAAACAATATATAAGACTTGTGCCGGGCGTCGGAACCAAAATACGAGCCCGATACCACAGTCTTTTAATAAATATTCATTTCCATTTTCCTTATTAATTTCAGAAAAACAATTTCACAGAAAAATTCATTTCCCGGGCTCTAGACCTCGGAATTCGACTCCGGGCACATGCCCGAGTCCCATATTTTTCTACGGACCTTCCGGGACCGTCCAATCTCGGGTCCGGGTCCGTTTACCAAAAATGTTGACCGAAGTCAACCTTAAACATATTAATATCAAAATTCTTCAAATTTTTCACAGAATTCACATATTTCAACATAAAAGCTTTCCGGCTATGCGCCCGAACTGCGCACGCAAATCGAGGCAAGTAAGAATGAGGTTTTCAAGGCCTCGGAAGCACGGAACGGATGAGGAAACATGTGATGACCCTTTGGGTCGTCACAGTTACCGACGTAGAACTACCTCAAAGTATTTCTTCAGTTTCTACAACAATCCACTCCTTTTCTCGAGTTACATAACACTTATTACAATTTTTTTTCTTTTTGGAGCTTGAGTTTCTTCATATATACAACTTTGAGGTTTTTGTTTTTGTTTGTTTGTTTTCTTTTACACACAGTAGTCAACCTTACCGATTTCCACTTTGTACCGGCACCCCCAACTTAGGCTTTTAGCTTCATTCTTAATCGTTGAAGGAGGGATGGGTTCAAAAGAAGGAATTATTTCACAAGGGGTAAAGGTTTGTAATTTGTAGCCAAATAAAAGGTTAAAGGCTCAACTGGGGTAACTAGGATAATTGATGTACCAAGGAGGTCAATTTGGTCAAAATTAGCTAGTAGTCATAAAGAGAGCCTAAGATCATTTCAGCACCCAATCATTGCCCTGAGAGTTGCACTAAGAAACCAACCGGGCAAGATCTAGACATCACAAGTTAAGCATATGCATTATTTATACAAATCCTCACTCACTCACAACGCATGAATTGTTTGACTCAACATAGTTTCAACCCTCAAGTGAATGCAAGGCAACTCAAAGCTTTCATCACATGATATGTAAGATTCTGAGTAAGCAAAAAGTCAAAGAGCGAGCCTCACGTTCACAAGAATGACTAACCATTTTTTTTTATATATATACAAAAGAAGGAAGGGTACCATTTATTCACAAAGATTCATTACATGCTTGAAGCTAGAACAATCAACACCAAATAAGTCAAAACATTCCATTCTACTTCCATGGTTCTACTATTACACCCTTAGAAAAGAACCCAGCGAATAAAAACCAAAGGGAATTCATTGCTAACTACCAATCTATACTACTAAATTAAAGAGTTTATGTACAATTTTCACACAAAATATGACTACCCCAACCCCAACCAAAAAGCATGCATTGTCCCCAATGCATAGAGCATGTAAAAGCGAAGTTTAGGGGCTTCCTGGGGCGCACTAGGCGCTCGGAGGGGCTGAAGCATCCTGGGCAGCTCTGAGGTCAACTGCCTGCACTATGGCAGCAACAGGTGGAACCTCGAACTGTGTGGTGGTCTCTGAGGCTGGAGCAGGAAGCTCCACATACTCTGAGGCTAGGTTTGGGACCTGGGAGCTGCTAGCCTCTCCCAGTGAGGGCTATGTGGTCGATGGATGTTCCTTGGTGACCATGTCTACAAGAGAATGTGCAATTGCTGTCTGCACGTCTGTTTCCTCTTCATCTTGTGCATCTGTAGAAACAGCCACTTGCTTGCCCCTATTGTCCCATTGACCCTCAGTCTCCTCAACCAATGCCTTCTCATCAGTTTCCTCATCCTCACTGTCTCCCTCATCAGTCTCCCCCTCAGACTGTCCGGATCCCTCCATTGAAGGAGTATCAACGTGTACAACGGAATCCGAAGCCTTTGTAGTCTCAGTACCCTGGGCTTCCAGAGCTGTCATAAGGTTTGTGAAATCCAGGTCCAAGATCGGAATATGGGAAGTGCCAGTGCCCTGCTCACCTTCCTGTGGGAGAAAGGAGGTCAAGTCAAGCTCCAAATTCTGCATCTTGTGCAGCTCTGATTTCAGCTCAGCGACATCTTTCTGGAGTTGAGGCATATCTCAAATTTCGCCTCTCTAAGCCTCTCAAGTCACACTTCAAAGTGCTTGAGCCGATCTTCATAGGATGGATGTTGTTGTTGAAGGTCACTGACTTACTGTTACAACGTAATGCCCTTCGGGCTAAAAAATACATGAGCCACATACCAACGCCTAGTTAACAAAGTGTTCGAAGAACAAATAGGCAACACAATGGAAGTTTATATTGATGATATGTTGGTTAAATCCTTGCGCGCAGAAGACCATTTAATTCATTTGCAGGAAACATTCAAAAAATTTGAGGCAATACAACACGAAGCTTAACCCGAAGAAATGTGCCTTCAATGTTGGCTCAGGTAAGTCCCTCAGCTTCATGGTGTCAACTCGGGGTATCGAAATCAACCCCGATAAGATCAAGGATATCGAAGATATCACGATCGTGGATAGTGTGAAGGTCGTGCAAAGGCTAACAGGGCGAATAGTTGTTTTGGGTCGATTCATTTTGAGGTCGTTGGATCAGAGTCACCGGTTCTTCTCCTTGCTCAAAAAGAAAAAAGGACTTCACGTGGACCCCGGAATGTCAGCAAGAATTAAAGCGATATCTGTCGAGCCCGCTTCATACCCCAAAAGTAGATGAAAAACGAGAAGCAGCACTTGTTCGAATGGCCACGCAAAAGCAAAGGATCGAAAGATACTACAATAGAAGGACCAACCTCCGACATTTCGGAGTCGGGGACTTAGTTCTACGAAAGGTCACCCTCAATACTCGAGACCTGAATGAAGGAACACTGGGCCCGAACTGGGAAGGACCGTACCGAGTCCTCGAAATTATTGGTAAAAGATCTTACAAACTCAGCACGATGGAAGGTGAACAACTGCCAAACAATTGGAACATACCATTACTCAAGCGATACTACTACTAAGGTACGACTTTATCCTTTGTCTATTTGAGTTTAAATCTAACTTATTACAGATTTTTGATCGAAGGTACGCGATCTCGAAGACACCCTTTTTACACGAAGGCCTTAGGTTTTAAAGCATGGTTGCACTCTTTTTTCCTTAGATCGGATTTTGTTCTAAACGGGTTTTACCGGCAAGGTTTTTAATGAGGCAACAATTACTGCTACCTAAGGAGAACTCAACAGTATCCAAAAGTTTCTTTTCAATCAACCTCGAATACTGGGGGGCATCACCCTCGGAAGTTATATTTTCAAGGAAAATACTTCACGCCTAAGAGTGCCTCGATAGGAAAACTTTGTAATGGGCCAAACGGTCAGATGAACCGTGTCCATATAGAATAGTCGAGCCTCGACGGCAAAACATCTGCGCATGTATCAAATTATTTGAAGAAGCATTCCGTTATATCAAAAACACTTTGTGTCTCAAAGAAGTCTACTACTATATGAGCTCTACACTTATAATCCTACGGGAAACGGCTCAAAAACCAAAGCATAAAAGCACCCCCGAATACTCGGGGACTGTCATCGACAGTCAATGCATCTGAGTCACCAAAAACTCGGACTCATAAGACCTCAAAGAGGCATCCCTCCGAAACAAAGGCCAAGGCCAATATACTCGGGGACTAACTTTTTGAACAAGTTCGAAAAGCTATCTGGGAACAAGTCTAAGAGGCACACCCGAAGGCTACGGCCATATTAAAGACTACGGTCATATAAAAGGCTACGGCCGAAATAATGCGGCTCGGAGACGTCCGACTTCCACCATAAATTAAAGGCCTTCAAACACTTTGAAAAAACCGGTTAAATCAGGCTACCCTCGGCAAAAGCAAAAGGGCTTCGATAAACTCAGCCCTCGAATAATCTAAAGGCTTCGATAACATCAGCCTTCGAAAAAACCTCAAAAGGAATTCGATTGTGTTGGCACAAACGAACTATTGATAAGGTTCCGACTCATCGAACCTTCGAAAAACCCAATGGGTAAAAAAAACAAATGCTAAGGCATAACAAAATTTTCACTGTGTCTTTTAGCCGAAAACAGGGAAAAATTATATAGTCATCCTTTTTAAAGAGCCTAAGGGCCAATTTCGAAAGGCTTAAGGGCAAAAAACATATAGTTCGAGACCCCGTTCTCACTCGACTCAGACTCAAGAGTCACAATATCCCGAGCTCGCATCGAATCGACTTAAACTTAGCTCGAGGTTTATTATATCTATCGATAAAGACCCAAGGGTTTATTATGTCCCGAGTCCAAACCAATCTTCAGGCCAATCATTCAAGTTATGCAATCGAAGTATTCTATAAATAAAGACAAAATGAAATCCAGCACAGATCAAAAATGAGATAAAAAGTTCCTCTTGTATTTCCAAAAGATGATTACAAAAGATATGTACACAAAGGATACTTGCACGAAAAAACGAAATAAGGAAACCTAAATCTACTTCAGGGTCACATCTTCGGCAACTGCATCTTCAGGAGCCGCATCTTCGAGAGCCTCACCCTCGGGGACTTCATCTTCGTCTCCTCCACTCTCGGAGCTACTGGCAGAATCATCCTCATCAGAAAGCAGAGCATCAGCCTCTTCTTCCAAAATCTTTGCCCTTTCAATATCAGCTGAGAGATCGAAGCCACGAGAATGTACCTCCTCGATGGTTACCCTCCGGGACTGTCGCCTAGCGTGGTCAAGTGCACTTGATAACTTAACTTCGGTCGTAGAAGAGATTTCCTTTGCCCGAGCATTATCCGCTTCAGCGTCGGCTCGATACGAGGATATAATTGCCTCGGCATCAGATTTGGCCTTGGCCAGCTCAACAGCGGACTCAGCTTTAAGCTCCTCAATTTCGCGACCTCGAGCCAGGCTCTCCTCCTTCACACTTTGAAGTTGAAGTTCGAGTGAAGCCAGCTGCTCCCAAAGAGTTTCTTTCTCGGAGGCAAGAATGTCCATGCCTTGCCTCCACCCCAGGGTCTCGGCCTCCTTCATCTTGAGCTCTTCATGAAGCTGCTCCACCAGCTCCCCCTTTTGTTGAAACTGCAAAGCAAAAGTGTTAGAAGATCAATCGGGCAAGTCCATAACAAAACTTAAGAGGGAATATTACCTTTTCTGTAAGCTCGGTTCGTTGTTGGCAAGCCTTTGCCAATTCGGCTCGTAGATCGCTGATTTCCTCCTCTTTCTTGACATAGAGGGTTTTAAGAATGTCCAAATCTTCCAAGATCCTCTTAAGCTCAGGCTCACATCGAGCAAGATCAGCTCGAGACTTGGAAAATGCCCTTTTATGGAGCACCACAGCCTTCATTAAAAGGGGAAAAAGTTAGACTCAGAACCGCAAAGCGCACGCGTAATTCTAAAGGACAGAAAACTCACTTGTTTGAAGAGTCGATGAGCCTTATCAAAGATGAAAGAAGCATCTGGGTCGGGGCCATCTTCAATCCCTGCGAGGCATTCTCGAAATATGTCATGCCCTTCGTGGCTCGCCCCCACTTTAGAAGATCTCATGTTCTGAACATCTCGAATTTACCCCTTAGAGAACTCGCGACGAGACGGAGAGTCATCCATATTGATTACCCCAAGTGATCCACTCGGGGCATTCCCTTCTATTGAATGGGCTCGGGATCGGGTCCCTCGGCCTCGCCCTCCAAATGGCCTCCTAGGCGAGGTGTTTCTGGTGCCCGATGGCTCGGGGACTTTTCTTGAACTCCCCTCGGAGATCTCTTCAGCTCTAGAATGAACCGCATCAGTCACCACCGGTTCGACAGACTTCGAAGCCTCGGTGTTTCCTCTTTTACGAGCTACCAACAGGTAGTCGTCATCTTCTTCTTCTCCTGATCCCGAAGGCATTGGGTCGTTTCCGGAGATAAGGCCACCGTATCAGCCTTAGACTTTCGAGTCGCGCTTTTCTTGGGCTTCGAGGGATTTGCAGATGACTCCCTTTTACTTTTCTTTTCTTTATAAGGCTTCGGGATCTCTTCTTCACCAGCCGGGGCCGGCCGCATAGCAACGACATCTCTGAGACCTGCATAAAATTGAAGTAAGTATTCTACTAAAGAAGTACAAGTAAACAAACAAGAGAACTCACCATGATTTTTGGCCTCCCATCGACCCTTGGCCAAATCTCTCCAGCAACGCTCCGAATACGAGGAAGTGGAAGCCAATTTTCGGACCCAGCCTTCAAGGTCCGGGACCGCACCAGGAAACCAAGCAGTAGTTGTGCTATCGTAAAAGGGTTTAGACCAGGGGAAAAGATAAAGCCGAGAAAAAGAAGAGAAAGCAGGGTGTAAAGTTACTATGCACTCACGTTTCATGTTCCACTACTCGGGGAACGGCATCCAATCAGCAGGAAGCAGGTCGGAGGTCCTGACTCGGACAAACCGGCTCATCCACCCTCGGTCTTTGTCCTCATCGGTACCGGAGAAGAGAGATTTCAAGGATCGGCATTGTAGTTTTATCAAGCCACCTCGGTAAACTCGAGGATTGTACAGCCTGATTAGATGGTCGAGGGTGAACGGCATCCCCTTGACTTGACTCAAAAAGAATCTGATCAAATGAATGATTCATCAGAATGAAGGGTAGATCTGGCCAAACGTCACCTTGTATCATCGGCAAAAGTCAAGAATGACCGGATCTATGGGACCTTGAGCTGGAATTGCGGGGCCCAGCGTGAATGGATAGGTATACACGCTTAAGTACCCGCTTTATATGTAGTGATGTCCTCCTCGGGGGAAGGGATCACTACGTCTTTGTTCTCCCACTTGTAGTCCTTCTTTACTTGCTGAAGCTCGTCCTCGGTTATCAAACAGACGTTGCAGAGGAATGCACTCCTCAACATGAAGGGGCACTACCGCTTTACTCTTGGTCGGTCGAGAAGATGAAGAAGCTTTTTCTTTTTAGGGAACCGATTTAGATGTCTTAGCCATTACAATGCAGAAATTCAAGAAAATGGAGAATGTTGATAATGAAGTAAGACCTAATAGGAGAGAAGGGAGAATTCAGAGAAGTTGAAAGAGCTAATGAGACTTTGAGAACAATATGAGAATAAAGTTTGCAAGCTTGCGAAGTTGATCTATTTATAGGGGTCATTTAAGCGTACTGAGGAAGCCAAAAAGCCGACCGTCAATTGCCTCCAATTAATGACTTTGGGAACCGCATGAAAAGAAACCTTTCAGTCACTTTAGCCGCTGACGTCATGAGATTGGCATTAGGATCAAGGCGTCGAAGATTAATTCGTTTCTTATCGGCCTATTTCGAGTTTGAGTAAATGCTCACTCAACTACTAAGCCTAAGGGCTACCCGAGTTTGAGAAAATTCTCACTCGGGGACTATCTACGAAGCCTAAGGGCTAACTTTGTTTCAAGTTTGAGACCATGCTCTCACTCAACTCAGACTGAGGAGTTCCGATGTCCCGAGCTCGCATCAAATTAATTCGAGCCTAGCTTGAGGATTAAAAAAAAAACCTTAAAGGGTATTATATTGATCGAACCTAAGGGTTTACTATGTTCTGAGTCTGGTATTCGGAATAATCACTAAAATTATACAATCAAATTCTTCACCGAGAAAAGACGGAATGGAATTCAACACGAGCCAAAAACGAGACAAAGAAATCCTTTTATATTTCCAAGAGATGGTTACAAAATATATTTACAACATCCACGAAGGATCCTTACACAGGAACAAAGAAGCAAAATACAAAAGCCAAGAACCTAATCTACTTTTAAGGCACGTCCTCGAGAGCGGCATCATCGGGAAACTCCTTCCCGGGGACCCCATTTTGATCTTTGAAAATGTTTGTGCGCCTGAAGAAATTTAGGGCAGAGAACCCTCGATAAATGTAACTATATTTCTAGCAGCGGGAATCGAGCATTCTGTTGAAATTTTGGGCCATAATCCGTTAAAAAGAGCGGCAAAAGAAAAAGACCAAAGGGAAGACTAGAAGATGTAGCTTCACCTTCTATCACAAGAAAGACCAAAAAAGTGTTGCAAGATGCACGAGCAACGATCCAAGAATGTTCATCCTTGGGACGTTGTACCGGTGTAGGATGCAAAAGCTAGTAGATGATAGTGCCACCTCACTCTTATGGAAAGAAAAAGGAATGAAGTGCCACACCAGGTTGAAGTTAAGAGAGATGAGCGGCAAGGTGAAGTTTGCATATTTTCTGATGCGGGAAGGATTCTGCGCCCTTCTCTCGTCGTTTCGAATCGAAGCTTTGAAAAGGAGAGCCTTGGCGTAACTGGTAAAGTTGCTGCCATGCGACCAGGAGGTCGCAAGTTCGAACCATGGAAATAGATGATTAGGGAAAGGAATGACAAAGGGAAGAATCAGAGTAAATGAAGATGAAATACGTACAGTTCTTTGCTCAACAGAGTAGCCTCATATTTATAGAAAGGCGACGACGGTTCGGCGGTGTGACGACCCGACCCGTCATCCCATGAGAACCGCTCTTTTTCCCCCATTTCCTGCTTCGTTATGCTTCATTATCATTGTCTTGTGTGAACGAGTTGAATTGGGTTGAATTTTGGAAGGAAATGAGACACTTAGTCTCTTTAAGGAGGGCTTGTTTTGGAAAAGTCAACCGGATGTTGACCTATGAGTTAGAGGGCTCGGATGTGGATTTCGACGATTCGGTTAGCTTCGGGGGTATGATTTGTGACTTAGGAGTGTGATCGGAAGTGATTTTGGAGGTCCGGTGTAGAATTAGACTTGAATTGGCGAAGTTAGTATTTTGGCGAATTCCGATTGATAGGTGAGATTTTGATCCGAGGTTCGGAATGGAATTCCGAGAGTTTCTATAGCTTCGTTAGGTGATTTGGGATGTGTGTACAAAATTTCAGGTTATTCGGAGGTGATTTGGTTAGGGTTTTGATCAAATGCGTGTTTCGGAAGTTTTAGAAGAACTTAGGCTTGAATCCGATGTAAATTTGGTGTTTTGATATTAGTTTTGGTGTTTTGAGAGTGCAACTAAGTTTTAATGATCATATGTGACGTGTTAGTATGTTTGTATGCGGTCCCGAGGAGCTCGGGTGAGTTTCGGATAGGTTTGGGCTGCGTTGTGCTCGTTTTTCTTATGTTTCGACGTCGTTTCTTCAAGCATAAATGATATCATATTGAACAAATGAGCTCCGATTACTGTTTTGAATGAAGCATTAGATCCGTATCGTAATTACGGACCCGTAGAAAAAAGAATCGTCGAATTTGGACATCGTATGAGGATTTTATGGCCATTTTACCAAGCTTGCCCAGATTTTTAGGTTAATGACGAAATTGCCCCTGACGGCGTATTAAAAACCTGCACTATTTGCAAATCTTAAAACCTACATATCTTCTTCATTATAAGGTCAAATTGAGTGATTCAAAAGCCTAAATTCATTATAATTTCACAAGGAATCCATTGGGAGCAGTAAAACGCGTGAACAGTATACCTATAATGAGCAGATCGAGTTTTCTTCCAATTTTTGGACGGGAAGAAGCTTCTGAGGCGATTTTTAAGAGAGAAAATCAGTGGGTATCACAGAGGTAAGTGATTTGATTATTAAAACTCATTTATGGGTGATTATAGACCATAATCCCAGCTTTTAATTCATGAAAAACAGTAGAAAAATAGGATTTTGGGGCCTGAGATTATGAGACCTTTAGGGGTCGATTTGAGGGGTCAAACGGACTCCGATTTTGGTGTTCTTTATATGTACGAAATCGGGAGAAGATGAAGAACACTTTTCTGTAAAAATTTCTGAGTTTCGAGAAGTGGGCCCGAGGCTCGGGTTTTGTCAATTTCGGGATTATTGATGTTTTTCGATTATTTTCGATTGGGTATTGATCCTATAGCATAATATTTGGTCAGATTCGACGCGCGAGGAGGTCGATTTCAGAGGCAAGGGCATAGCGAGCTAGGATTTTGGCCGGCTTGAGGTGAGTAATAGATGTAAATGTTGTTCTAAGGGTTTGAAACCCCGTGTTTGCACATCGTAGTGCTATATTGAGGTGACTTGCACGCCGGGTTGCGAGCATAGGATAGAGCACCATTGGGGATTGTGACTTGGTCCATCCCGGTAGATGAATATACTGCGTATTTGACTGAAATTCACTTATTATTATTTTAATTGAGCTGATTGCTATATTTGGGCTTCGTGCCAATTGATTAAATCCTTCAGGGATTGTTGTTACTATTTTCTTACCATTTCTACATATCATTGAACTCAGTCCTAGAATTTAATACTATTTTGCAAACTCAGCCACTTTTCTCAAACTAGAAACTTAATTAATATTTTTATATGAAGTTTGGGCTGAATATTTCTATATTAATGTGCCCGAGAGGCTTATGTGATTTTGGACTGAGTATGGGATCGGGCTGCACGCCGCAGCGGTATGAAATTGATATTGATATGAGGCCGACGGCCTAGTTGATGCCACGATATGGCTTATTATTGTGCTTGGGCCGTAAGGGGCCCCTCCCGGAGTCTGCACACCCCTAGTGAGCGCCGTCGACGATAAATAAATGGAGTGG